AAAAGTCGGAGAAATTTTTTCTCATTTATAAAAAGGTTGTAGGTCAATAAAACTTTCAAAAAGTTACAAAAAAAAAACAAGGAAAATGTTTAAAAAATATAATTTAATTGTTTAAAATTATTATATTTATGTATAATGTCCTGCAGCCTTAATTCTCATTATTCCCTTCCTCCTACATCACGTAATGCTTATAGAGACAAAGCTGTCATGGACAAATAATAAAATATGCATATTGTTGTCAATGCCTTTAAAATTCAACCCAATTTTCAATTAAAGCTTATCGAGAAAATTTCAAAATTAGATCTTTTCGAGAATTCAATGAGTAAAATTGTCAAAAGCTTGACAATGTTGAATTCGCTGAGAAAGAAAACATTGACAGCATTACAAGCATTACAATCGAAAATCGATTTTTATTTCCGAAAATAAAATCAGATATGAAAAATAGATTTGATTTTTAAGTTACTTCCGTTTCAATCTCATTACACTAATTGATGCAGTAAAATCCTACATAGTAAGCAGAAAAGTTTCATTACATAATTAATTAGAGCACATTCATGGAGGATTCGCTATTCAATATTCCCCGCTTTTGTCGATTCCTTTTCAACATCCAACACAACTGTTGAGATAAAGGTATTTAGACACATGGCTACCTTAATTTCAATTCAAATTCTAATTACAGTGTATTTAAAAAAAGGTTCGATCTTGCTCTATAGGAACGAACGTTTGCTCTTAACGATAATGATGATTATTGCTTTAAGGAAAGTTAATTAACTTCTGTATTCAGATAATGTAATTTACAGGAATAAGTTTCAAAATACATTCCTAAGTATTAAGTTTATGAAGGAAGAAGAGCGAATAAATTCTCAGAATCCATTGAGTATGGATTAATGTCTTTTATGTTTCATGATTCATAAAATTTTAACCAAAAAACCGTTAAATTAGTTTTTGAATTCCAAAAAAAAAATTATTAAAAAATTCAAATCTAAAAAATTCGTTAAGTTTCCTCCAGCTTTTACAAAAGTTTTATTAAAGTTATTCAAAACTCCATCCATTCGCTCAGATATAGAATTAATTAAATCTTCATGGTTGTAGCAAAATCTATGAATTTATAATGAGCAAATGTGCATTAAATTGCATTATGTTCTTCCTTTATCTTCAACTTTATTTTTATGGTAATTGCTACCTTATGAAAATTCAGAACTTTGTTTCCTCTCCCCACACAGTACGGCAAAGGAGTGAATGTCAAGCTTTCAGTTTTAAATTGAGTTTGAATGCATTTTATGGTATAACTGTAATTTATCGTAGTTCATAACATGCAGAATTTTTTTTTTTCATTTATTCATTCCTCAAAAAGTAAAAGGAAGGAAAGAGGCGGAAAGAAAGAAGCTTGTGGTGGATGAAATTCCTTCACTTTTGCCAAGAAAAATGAAAAATCTAATGCATATGATATAAAAGAGCCCTTTAATGTCAATATAAATTTTGCACTTACAGTTTTCTCGTTTCCTTCATTTCCTTCGTTTTCCGTGCTTTAAGAAAATAATATAGCAAGCACAAGAAAGATGAATGACTCAATAATAACTACGTGAAGGATTATGATGTTCTTACATCATCATTAAATATGAGTAAATATTGAATTTCTCCGAACAGGGTTTCATATATCAGGATAAAAATATTAATAGTGATATTTTATTATTATTATTGGTATTAATATTGTGAGCAAGAAAATGGATTAAGCTCCTAAATAAACTTGACACCTTAAATTTATTCAAGAGTAAAAGAAGAAAGTTTCAAAGTTTTGAATTTTTTTTTGGTTTTGTGGTTTATTAATTATCATATTCTTGAAACTTAACTTTGAAAAACCACATAGAAGAAATTGTTAAATATGGAACTATTGTAAAACTTATATATGAGTCAATTTGACTAATGTGAGTAATTTATTGGGTAGACTTAGTTATTTGTGACTTGGCTTTTAGGAGATTTTGTGTTTTGTATTTTGAATGGCTGTTTTTAAGTTGTTATTTGTGTTTCTAAATTAGTTTTACAATTAAATTTAAGGTTTAAGCTTGCAAAAGTAGTTTTTAATAATTTTAAAAGTCAAACTTATCACCAGGAAATAAAGATAATTTTATGACATATCTGAAGAATTTGTCAAAACATTAGTTTATTTTGGATCATTGTTTGAGAAGTTTTAAACTAAGTAAGCATCAGAGTTGTCACCTTTCAATTTCCTATAAAAGGAAAATTTTCCAAAAATTTTCCAAAAATTATATTGTGGTTATCATTGAAAATCACATATAACGTATTTTTAACATTTGAATATTATGTAATTCAACATATTTTATGTTTATATTATTTCACTTTATAATACCTATTCAAATCCGTTTAAATTATTTCAACACTCGTTTCCTGTGATTAGTTATCCTCATTTTAGTGGATATCCCATATAAAAGTTGCCAGAGTTGAAAAATTCATATTTCTGTTTCCCAAAGTTGTTTTTTAAAAAACTCTGTATTGCGTTTTAGTATGTTATTTTATCTATTTAACAATCATAAAAGCATATTTTTTGACCAACTGGAACTAGGTGAAAAAGAGCGTTGAAAAAGTATGGTTTTCACCATATTCTGAGCACTAGTGTTCCAACCCTGGATAAAACTGGTTAATATAATTAAGTTTTTTGTATCCCTCAAATCAAGACCTTTCCAAAAATATATAATATGATATACTTTTGAACAAAGAAATAGAAAATATAGTCCGATAACTGAAAAATGCTTAATTCTCATTTCTATTTGAAGAGCCTCAATTTAAGCTTGAGAGACAACTGGACAATTAAATAACATCAAGCATAATATTTCCAGATTAAAATGTTTGAATCATACCGAATAAAACTTTATCGAATGAAAAAACTGCACTTAAATATTATGTGAGTCACTTTCTCAATTAGGTAAGTAGAAGAAAAGTTTATTTTGCTGTTTTTGTGCTTGCTTATAAAACTTCTAGCTCAAAACTTTTCATTATCTGAAGGAAATTAATTTTAACGAAAAAAAAGAGAAAAGGTAACTTATTGAATAGAATATAAAAACAGTCGAGAAGGAAGAAGCAGAAGCAACGGATTCCATGCTGTGTTCCATCAGATAACAAACTTCAAATTACTTTATTTTCTACATTAAAAAAATCATTCAACATTTTTTCTATTCCTTCCTTTTCTTGTGGCTTTAATTTATAATTTATAAATAAAGTGAAAGACTTTTAAGAAATATTTTTTTTTAATGAATTACGAAGAAATAAATGCAGAGGGTGAAAACTTTTTTTCCGGAAATTTTGTTTTCACATTTAATTTTCCCTTCGCTTCTGACATCTTCATCTTTTTATTATCAGACGAGAGAACAACTTAACGTAGGTCATTTCTGATTTTATTTATGTTTTTTGTTTCTTTTCTGAATTTATGTCTCTATGCAGCATGCAGTAGATTTAGAAATTTAGACATCACTAAGTTGTTTTTTGTTTAAAAACTATGTTTGCATTTAAATTCTTTTATGATACTTAATTTCAATAATATGGGGTATGATTGTTCTAAAGAGGTTACATTTGATTATTCAGGCTTTAAATAACGGGGTTTGAATAATCATTAAATCCAGGGGAGGCGAGCAGAAATTTTGCCGTTAAATTAGGAAAAAAATTTGAATCCACACTAACACTATCAAACATTTTCCAAAAAAAAATTAAAATTGTTTAATAAAAATTGCCTTAATTGCAACTAAGTCTTTGTATAGAATATAATTGAAAGCCTGATTAAAATTTAGTCATTATGATTTTCTTTTTTGTAGCCAATTTAGGTCGTGAATTAATTGTTAAAAGGGAATTTTGCAAAAAAATAAATTTTATGGCGTGCGATTAGAAATTTAAATTTTGAAGCTTAAGGGCAATTCTTTGGATGAGTGGAATTTGGAAAAAATGAGCTTTCATAATCCAATGTCAATGAGTTTTGTGTCAATAAAATGTTTTCTTTAATTTCATATTACTGTGAAGGAATAATAAGCCAGAACTTTCGTAGATCATTAAGCATAATTAATTCTTTACAAGTGATCTATTGAAATGTTACAACTCACCCAAGTTAAGTGAAAAATTGAAAAAATATGTTTGAAAATTTTGTATTTTTTCACGGATTAAGACAAAAAAAAGCTTCTTTATAACTCGATGACACAAGGAAATTTTTCACAAAATTGAAATATTTCATTAATTACTGACTTAAAGCACACAGAAAAGCAACCTAATTAAAGATTTTTGTCTGTTCTATAACTCAGTAAAAGTTATTCAATGTTAATTTCAATAGTTTTCTCTAATTTTCGATTCTTCGGATGATGAAAATTGAAAATTCCGATTTCTGTCATCGAGTTATTGACAAAAGAATCCAAATAACTTAATTAATACAGCGATTAGAAGTAAATGATATCAAAAGGAGTGTAAATTTTATATTTTTGTGATTTATTTTGGTAAGAACATATCTTTGTTTGTTCTTCTTTGATCAAATCAAATTCATCCTTGTTTAATTATCAAAACCAATTCGATCAGCATTATCAAAATGTAATTAATCAGTTCTACAATTCTATTAACAAAATTGTATCCTCAACAATTGATATAAATTCTTACTCCTAAACATAAAATTTCACATAAATGAAGGTAGAAAACAAAATTCATAGACACGCTGTCATATTCTGCCGAGATAATATTATTGTAGGTCACAAACTTTTCGTTTGAATGTTTAAATAAGGAAGTTATAAAAATCATACATTTTGATGACTTTTTTGCAACTTAAATATTCATTGAAACTCTTTTGTGATAGCTTCTCAGTGGAAGTTTCAAGTGGTTTTTAAAAACTTCTTGGTTTCATATTTCATTGCATAAAAATATTTTCGTAAAAATACTTTAAGTTCTTGATAAAAATACTTGCAAAGTTCACAATAAAAAATATTTGATTGGTAAAAAAGCGGAAGTTAACTTACCGGAGAAGGAATTTAGAGTTAAAAGCAGAAGAAAAATCATTTTTATATAGTTTAATTTTCTATTTTATGTCCTTCAGGATGGATAGAGTTATTATTAATTTATAAAAAGAAATTCCGACAAACTCAAACAGCAGCAAGAAGCAGCAGCAGAAAGGAAAATAATAAATAAAGAAAAATATTTCTTTTGCTTTCTTTTATACTTTTTTTTCTACTTTATTTCACTTGATATCCACATAAAGCAGTGAGCAAACACAATGGATGAGATGAAGACTAATAGAATGGACTGAAAATTTGCAGTAATTTTATTCCATTTATTTTTACATGACACTTTCTCACTTCACTTCAGTAAAGGCCATTTATAAATTCTTTCTTGCTCACTTAGTTCCCGTTCTTCTTTTTTTTATGATTTTAAATCAAACTTTATTTCACTTTTTTCTGGTACATCATTATCGAAAATTATTCGGTAAATATCCAACAAAAATTCTTCCTGTTTGAACAATTCACATTATATCATATTTCATTTTCACCGCTATGCTTCCTCGCTGATAAAATTTCGTTTATATTCAATAAAAGCATAAATTTTCATTATTTGTTGGCTGTTCAAAATATTTTTAAAAAATTGAATTTTTTTTCAAGGTGTGGAAACTTTGAATTAAATTGTGGAAATTCTTTTACGATTTGAAACTTGAAGTTGATGATTTAGATTTGGTTTAAAAAAGTTATTCATGCTACGTCTCTTATCAACAGAAATTGTTAGAAGAAGTGAATTCAGAAGAGTATTTTTATTAGCTAGGATTTTTAAAAGAAAAAATCTGAAATCACAAAAAAAAAACTTTAACTTAATCTTACTAGCTTTATTATTTCACATTTTTCAAGCTATTCTATTTTCTATCAATCACTTAAAGTTTAATAAAACCAAGAATTTAAAAAAATATTAAAATAAATTGAATAAAAAATAAAAATTGAACTTTTCAAAAAAATTTCTTTTTTCAAAAACTTTTGAATTTTTCAAAAAAGAATTTCTTTTTAATTTCAATTTCTGAATTTTTTGTTTTTAAATTATTTTTAATAGCTCTGTAAACAAAACATTCAACTTATCATCAACAGTTTTTTTGTTTAAAAAAGGAATATTATCATTTAAAGTTTTACTAGCTAAGTTAAATTATTTTTTAAAAATCCCACAGACTAGAAACATGTCCAAAAGTTCATCACAAGCAGAAAAATTCTCATTATTGAACACGCAGAACTAAATTTGAAACTCATTTCATCCTGACAATTAATGGTCTAAAATTCATTAAAACTCGAAAACCCAACTTTCCACTTGATTCACTTTTTTGCTTCAAACCGCACAAAATAATTTTTCCACAAAGCAATTCAGATGAAATTTTTATTTTCATAGCCTCAGTACCTTGAAAATTATTCATTCAAATAACCGTTCATTCAATTTAATTTATCTCTCTTCTTTTTCACAAAATTCATTATTCCATATCCCACACGATACGATATGCTTCAATTCTTCCAATTTCAAGGACTCGATAATTTATTTTTTTTTTCCTATTTCACTTTCACTACTTTTTTTTCACACTCACATTTCATTCCTTTAGATATTCTTTTTTTTTTTTTGCTCGTAAAATCACTTCTGTTGGAAGCGTACTGATATGGAAAAAAAGCAATTATGCCTCAATTCGATAAAATTTGAATTTTTTGCTACAAATCCATAATTTGATAAAGCGAGATGCGTGTGGGCAAAAAAGACACTAGAAAAACTTATTTTTTAAAAAAAAAATCTGTGAATTTTTTGCCACTTTACTTTACTTATTTTTTTTATTTGTTTGTTTGTGATTCTTGATAAAAAATCAATGATATGGTTTGTCCTCTGTTCCGTACAAGATAGAGACCGATGCGAGACTGAGACTAAAACGTGAGCGGCGAGCAAATTTATATACATAAATGAAATGAAATTCTTTCGAATTGCAGCATCCACAAAAAATGACTCTATATACACGTTTATGTAACATTAAGTTCGAAAGAGCTTTACGTGAGTGAGAGTTGACGATGGTTAAAAAGGATCACGTAAAAGTATATGAAAAAAAATGTAAACATACAAAATGCGCATGAAATTCTCTCATCATGTCTCTCATGTCTCTCTTACTAATAAGCTGTTGTTGCTTGTAGCTTTGCTTGTTCATTCGGAAAAATAGAAGGGAAATTGAGATGAAAATTTGATTTTGGCTTATATACTACATAGCGCCGCATGATATGGAAATGAGAGTAGACGAGAGAGAAACGGAGAGCATGGATAGATGATGAGAATGTAGGAATAAAGTTAAAAGCGAAAAGTTGATAATTCAAAGGTGAAAATGAAATTATTTCTACTCTCCTTTTTGATGTTGCTCCATCCTCACATAGACTATTTTTTCCTCATCAATTTTATCATGTTGTGTTGTTATTACTACTGAGATCTCTCGCTCACAACAAGCAACAGTAGTGTGAGGATATGGTGGAAAATTTTGTGGATTCTATCATATATAATATATACATATTATCGTCATGTTTCATACACATAAATTATCAATAACACACATTTATGAAGCATTCAAATATATCCACAAATTGATGATAAATCATATCCAAAAAATTTTTTTTTTTTTCGCTCGCGCTTTAGTTAAATTAACATTATTTGCAATTGATATATAATTTATAAATTATGTCCAAAAAATAATATAACATATCTGCCTACATATTCATTAATTCTGTAAATGATATGCATGCAAATATTTTTATTCAAATTTTTCTAATGGTAAACAATGAATGGATGTCCTCTTTCGTTATATGGATGTTTAGCTTTCATAATGATTCAACTGATTGTGAAGTTGATGAAAATAACAAAGTCTTGTTTTTACGTTTGAACTTAATTTGTTTACAGGCAAATAATTTCAATTAGAATTTTATTAACTTTTAAATTTTAAAATTGATTCTCATTTTGTATTTTAAAATCTATTGGTGTAATTTATAAAGCTTCAAATTATCGATCAATATGAACATTATTTATCAATTGATTAACATTTTGAAAAATTGAATCAATTAACAACAAGATGATTGCTGGTCGAATGGGTAAGGCGCTTGGCTCAAATTTGGGATGGTAACTCGAAGATCGTCGGTTCGAATCCAGCCATTTCCAAATTTGTTCTTTTTCGGAAGAATAGATACTTCGACTGCTTAATGTACGAGATCAAGCCATAATTAGGCATTTTGGGCAACTTTGGATTAAGGAACGGGTCAGGAACTTGAAGTGTAGCGGGAGAAATAGGAACGAGAGCTACAAGATTACCCACGAATGGAATATTGTTAGAACGGAACTGAATAGTATCACGTCACGCCCACAAAAGATCGAAACGAGAGCCTTAGTTTATTTGAAACCTAGATATAAAGATTAGAAGTTTGATCCTACATAATATTAATTCATATGTATACAAATACAAAAGTGTAAAATGTGAATTATTACCAGACAGTATGTCGTCAATAAAGTGCAATTAAAATGAAAAAAAAAATTAAAATTAAGGATTTCCATTCACTTAGCCTATTGATCTCGCATCTCTATAGAATCTTAAAGACATTACCTCATACCAGATTAATTGTTCTTATAGAAGCCAACCAGATGTCAGGAAAATCACTTAATGATTATTTTTAAATCCCCAAATTTTATCAAGTTAATTTATGAAATGTTCTATCGATTAAAAGAGATTTACGTCTAGGACAAAGAAGAAATTGAAAAACAATGTTCCATTCCATCTTAAAGCTCGTAAAAGCTCTTAAGAAAATGAAAGGATTTAATTGTGCTGAGGACTAAGTCTAAACGATAATTATTTATTCTTTTCTTGTTATTTTCACATGATTCTTTACAACATATATATTTTAGAGAATTTACTGTTCACAATGGATATATTGTTTGAGTTTATAAGTACACAAAAACAATTTAATACTTTTTCACTCAATTAAAATTTTCGTTTGAAAAATTCTTGGGGAGAATTTTAACATTAAATTTTTTATTAAAGCACTTTAACATGCGATAATGTTTTTTTGATGAATTTACACGTAATTTAAATGTTTAAATGAGGATGCCTAGCTATTGGTCTGAAAGTAATTTAACTAATCATATTGATTATTTCAATATTTTTGTACATCCAGTGGAACATTATTACCCAACTTCTTAAAACGAGATTCGAGCTCCTTCTTTGACATTATTTCTGACTAAAGTCTAGAAAAGTTGGAATAAAAATAAAAAAAGCCAAACATTATCATGCTATTTAACATACACATAGTATGGGGGGTCTAAAACTTGAAAGGATTTAAACCAGGGATGGCGGTCCTTATTTCTGTGTTCAAAAATCAAAAAAACCTTATTTTGTAGTTAAATTTCAAGATTTGAATTTCCAAACGCACGCCATAAAATATATTTTCTTATATAAATTAACATTTTTTCAACTGATTGATTTGCTAAACTGGCTTCAGAAAACTAAATCGTAGTTTTTCAGCTCGCTTTGCGTCAGATTTCTTGTTCGCCACCCCTAGGATTTAAACATCTAAAATCTATTTATAATGTCTACACGATTTGTAGAAGGGGTGATCCGCGAAAAGTCATTCGCTATTGCTTGAATAAAATCGTTGACATACTAAAATGAAAAATCAACTTCCACGCGCTAATTATTAAAAGACATTTAAGCACAAATTGAGATTTCAAACAATTCCATCTTATCATGAAAAAACCTGATCAAAGTTAATCAGTTGTAACTTGCATTGCATTCTATCCATTCTTTCAGCAGTTCAAATGAATAACAAAGTAAAGAAAATAAGTTTTATAAAATTTTAAAAAATCCATTTTCAGCAACACAGCTTTTTTTTTGTTCTGGTGCAATCAAATTCATGTAGCATACCACGAAGCACGGACTTTTGTTATACCTGAAGATTGTTAGTAATGACGATGAAAAAATTGTTCATTTAATTTTCCTCATTCCTTCGCATGTATGTTGAGTGAATGAATGCTTACATACAAGCTCAAAGTGAAAAGAGTATGATGGAATATTGAAATAAATTTTTTGTGCTTGAAACTGCATTCTTTTGTTCTAAAACAGCA